ATAAAATCTTTAAAAAAAAAAAAAGAATAAATGTGCCTGAGCAGATAAATAGAATGAATGGATTCTGTTTGGACATTGACTTAAACAAAGCAGTTATGAGAGATTTTGGACGTGAAAAATTTGAATAGGGCTTGGGCATGTCAATTGTCAAGGCAATTTCTACATACTGAGTAAAACAGAAGCGGAAGGATGAGTTTACTGCAAGCCTTTTGACCTGCAAATCAGGAAACTCAAGGCTACAGAAACAATGAATTCTGAGTTGTTCACAGGCTAAGGGATATTTATGGGATAAATATAAAAGTCATTTGGCTTTTTTTAGTTCATTGGTTGCCTAGTCATCTTTCTTACTTGAATCAGGGTAGCAGAGTCAAGGAAAGGAGGTCCAGAGATGGCCATGAACAGACCAGGCATTTGGGAACTGGCTGGTGTCTTCTGTTGATTTCTGAGAAGAGATGTACATTCCTTCAAGGTTAGGTTATAAGTTTCCTTTTTTGCACTTGCATTCACCAGCTCCATTTTGTCCCTGACATAAGAGACTCCCATTTTAGTTTGTTTCTGCAACCAAACTAATGTGAGTTTGCTCCTTGGTGAGTTAGAGGTAGAGACTACACTGGGTGGAGCTGTCACGCCAAGGAAATTTTGTTTGCAGCAAATAAGGAGATCACAGGGACAAGCTTCCAAAGCTGTGACTCCCCCAGCAGGGATGAGAGGTTTCTTTTTAGGGGTTAGGATGAATATTCAGCAAAGGGAGCTTCATCATTGTATGCAAAGGTGGGCCTAAGGTTGCGCATGCTCTTTAAAAAACATGCCTATTATTTAAATGAATCTTGTGCTCCTCTAAGGGTGAAGACTTTAGTGGAATAATGAAGCAGAGGTAACTGTTAGACAAGGGTATGGGACTATGGGCATGCTCTGAGAGCCGGTATAAACTGGATGAGGTCTTGAGCTCCTCGTCCTGGGTAAGGAACACGGGGTCTTTTGAAAGAGCACTGGATGGGACACCAGGGTGGCTCAGTCTTAAGCATCTGTCTTTGGCTCAGGTCATGATCCCAGTGCCCTGGGATTGAGCCCCACATGCTTGGTGGGAGGCCTGCTTCTCCCTCTCCTAGTCCCCCTGCCTGTGTTCCCTCCCTCACTGTGTCTCTCTCTCAAATAAATCAATAAAATCTTAAAAAGAAAGAAAGAAAGAAAGAAAGAAAGAAAGAGCGAGCACTGGAGTTCTACTGCTGGTTTATTTTCTCTGATATGGTTAGGCTATATCCTGGACTGCTAGAGACTTAGTTTTTGCATTCTCATTGTTCCCTTAAAAATCCACAACTACTGAGGTTTTTGCATTTCTTTGTAATTCTGACACCTCCTAGGAGGTTTTGCAAGAGGTGTGCTAAGGCAAGTAGAGCCAGTAGGACGGGGATAACAGAAAACAGCTGGGGGCCTAAAATAACTTCTGTCATGAAACCCATAGTTCCGCTTTCTTTTTCTGGAGACCCCTAACTCTGCGCACAGTTCTACAGGTAGTGGGAGATGTGAAGGATTTATTGGTAATTATTACTGAGTGTGATAATGATACTGTGGTTTTGAAATAAAATATTTTAAGGAAATATTTACCAAAGTATTGAGGAGTTAAAAACACGATGTTAGGGATTTGTTCTAAGATTCCGTATCTAAAATTAAAAAATAAAGATGATATATGAATGAGGGGCGCCTGGGTGGCTCAGTGGGTTAAAGCCTCTGCCTTTGGCTCAGGTCACGATCCCAGGGTCCTGGGATCGAGCCCCGCCTCAGGCTCTCTGCTCAGCAAGGAGCCTGCTTCCTCCTCTCTCTCTGCCTGCCTCTCTGCCTACTTGTGATCTGTCAAATAAACAAATAAAATATTTTAAAAAATGATATATGAATGAGATGGTTATAACAGTATTAAATTTAGGATATGAGTATATGGGGTACATTTTACTATTCTTTCTGCTTTTGTGTATGTTTGAAAACTTCCACAATAAAAAGCTACAAATACATTTCCATCTGAGGAGAAAAATCGTGGCTTCCTGGTTTCATTTGGGTTATTCAACCACAAAACACTTTATGTCAGGAGCAGAACAGTACATAGTAAAACTATGTAATGAAATAATCCGAGGCTGAACATGAATTACAAAACAATTTAAATTTTATAAAAAGCACATACCACAGTATTTTCTGAAGTTCCCTGCAATAGAGCTATTTTCATCTGCCACAACTCCTCCTCCTCCCCTGATCCTCCTCCTCCTCCTCCTCCTTCTTCTTCTTCTTCTTCTTCTTTTTTTTTTTTTTTTGTTAATAACCTCCTTGTATGGACCATTTGTGCAGCTCCTGGGAGCTCCCTTCCATTTACTAGAAGGGATAATGCTCAATTGAAGAATCGTTACATAAAGCCAATTAGATCTTTAAAGTCACTTGAATCGTTTTTTAATACAACTCATTTTTGTAAATGAAATTCAAGATATTTCTCTTTGGAGCATAATCAATGTTTGTATCAACTTTTTGTAAATTCTCAGCTTATTAGGATGAGTAGCTCATGCCACAAAACAGTGTCGATAGCCCTTAGGTGCCTTGTGGACAATAAAGGTGGCAGAGGAGTCAATCACATTCCCCTTATCTCTTTTCCCTTGCCTCCCCACAAGACACACCGCGTGGAGCTTGGACACTGAAGAATGAAACTTCCTAGCTACCTCCCTCCCTTCCTACAATATACCGTCTATGTTGTCATTAGCACGCCTTTACTGTTCCAGGAGATTCCCGTCCAAGAAAATTTCTTGACTGTTCATCACGGGAACTTCCACAGGTTCCATCAATCTTCAATCTTCCATTAACCTTAAATCTCTTCGAAAGCAAGCAGCAGCACCTGGCACCTAAAAACCCTCCCCGCTCCCCCCAATCCTGGACTGTAGTTCCATGAACCTTACGTAAACCTAATCAAGTTCGTTGCATTGAAACCAAACTTGCAATTCTCAGTTAATTCCAACCTTGACTTCACAGCCCCGTGGAAGTGCTGTGTCAGCTGCGGCGGTATTCTCCGTCACCGCGATTAGCTATAAACTCCGTTTATTATCGACGGCCGTAACGGTGATGCAGCTTTGAGATCCAAAGTTCTCTAAGGAACTTAGGTTCAGCCTAAGCCATTTTTACGTTTTCCATTTTTAGCACCATCCCCCCACTTGCTCCCGCTAAAAATCTTGGTTAACTTCACCGTGTAAGCTTCAGTTCGCAATTCCTTTCTCATGAGCTTTAAGAAATGTATAAAACAAAAAGAAATCTGACAGTTACAGCGCCAGAGGAAGGACTCAACCTGAATCTCATCTTTGCCCGAACCGGGAGCCAGCTGGTGGGAGGTGCGGTCCCGCGAGCTGCATTCTGGGAAATGTAGTCCAGCAGGTGCGCGAAACCTGAGGCGCTTCCCCTTGGGCATTCTGGGAAGTGTAGTCCAGGAGCTGGATATAGTCGGCGGCTCGGAGGCACTTCCGCTCCAGGAAGGCGAGGTCGGGGCCGAGGTTGCTGGCGGTGAGGTGAGTTAAGCCCGCGTCCCTGCGGTCCCTCCGAGCCTGCTTGGCCTCGGCGTGGGGCCAACAGCCAGCCGCCTTCGCTCCCGGGGAAGGGGTGTCGCGGCCGGCGGCGGAGGGCGGGGACGGAGGCAGCGGCGGCAGAGTGCCGCTGCTTGGCGGAGCCTCGGCGTCGGGGCGGACGCTCGTGGCGAGCTGAGTTTGAAGGTCTCCCGCGCTCTCCGCGTCCCCGGCCCGGGTCGCGGACCTGCCAGCCGGCGCTGCGCCCGCCTCGCGGTAAAACAACGGGCGAGTGACTTGACATCTCCTTGCCTCGGTTTCCCCTTGGCTAAAAAAGCGTTAGTGCCTTCCCAGTGGTGTTCTGAGAATTCAGTGAGATTGGGTAGGAAAGCTAGAAATCAGTGCCTGGTGCAGGATCGGACAGGACCGTGAATTCTGTCATCAAACTCGGGCCCCAGGTGGTTGGGAAGCTCCTGAGAGCCCGGCGTGGGCTCGGAGCCCCAGCTGCAGCTCCGCTGGCCCTTCGCTGATTTACGCTGGGGGGCCGGTCCTGCACGCCTGGACTCATCCGTGACACTTGTTTCGGAAGGAGAGTTCTCTTCAGCCGGACCCTGGGGAAAGTTCTCCGTGGTTTATCCCAGAAAAACAGCCGTGAGCACGGCCTCGCACAGTGCCTGCGGCATAGCGAGTCCTTAACTGTTCGTAACGTGCCGCAGCTGCGTGCCGTTAGTTTACATGCAGCAGGACTTCTTAGTCTGCGGTTATTAGTTATTATTTGCCTCCGTGAATACGGGAGAAGAAACTTAGTTGAGGCTCTTCCAGCTTAAAACATGCTCAAATAATTACACTTACTAAAATGGTGTAATTGGGGGGGGGGAATCATGACAGTTTTTCATTAGCAGTACAACAAATTATCTGTGGGATAACCAATCAGCATTAGACTTTGCTAGGGTAACGGTAAGTCATGGCTCTGAATTCTGAGCGTCTTAAAACATTCATTTTTTTGGAACAAATCTGCAAGGGAAGTTTTACGAAGCATAATGGCATCTGCTTATTTGACACTGCAGGACATAGGGTATACTGACATTACTATGATCCCCGTTTACATGTGACTGGATCGAGGCGCAGAAAGATTAATAACTCTCTAAGTGTTTATGCTGCTAGGAAGTAGAAAGCAATAAGTAGAAATGCAGAATTTGAACCCAGCTACTTTGGCCCCATTAAGTTATATTGCCTGTATGTCTCTCATTTCCTCTCCTACCCAGGCTCAGGAGTGCTCTGGAAACTACCAGAAGCACTTATGTTAGGGACTGTTTTTGTATGAAGGCAGCTGACTGAGGGCGCCCAAGGGAAGTTGGAATCCAGCTCCTGTTCTGAGTTCTGCCTGGAGAAAGAGGCACCTTTTCCTGTTGGCACAAAGCACCACACAGACTAGCAGCTCTCTCATGATGACTTTCCCTTCCACAGTTTTGCTGTCCCAGAGCTCTGCCTCTCCCCAGAAGGAAAAGGAGAAAAATGACCAAGTTCCAGGTAAGTTGGGCTTGCCTTCCTATTCCTTGAAATGATGTCTCATTTCAAAAGATCGGATGCATTTTACCCCTGCTTTGAAAGGGTAAAAGGGCACCTAGGACATTTGCTTTTTATTTCCAAATAACGGTGTGAAAATTAATATTAAAAAGAAAACAACTTCCACATTACAAACCTGTTTACAAATTAGTTTTAATTGTCCCACATTCCTTCTCATTTGAGTTGACATGTCTAGATTTGTAATCATACTTTAAGTACATTTTGGATTTTTATTTATTTATTTTTCAAAGATTTCTTTATTTATTTGACAGAGATCACAAGTAGGCAGAGAGGCAGGCAGAGAGAGAGGAGGAAGCAGGCTCCCTGCTGAGCAGAGAGCCCGATGCGGGGCTTGATCCCAGGACCTGGGATCGTGACCTGAGCTGAAGGCAGAGGCTTTAACCCAGTGAGCCACCCAGGTGCCCCCATTTTGGAATTTTAAATGTAATTTTATATTACCTATAATTTATGATGATGATGATGATGATGATGATGATGATGATGTTAGTCATTATATAATACATCATTAGTTTTTGATGTAGTGTTCCATGATTCATTGTTTGCATATAACACCCAGTGCCCATTGTAGTGCGTGCCCTCCTTAATACCCATCACCAGGCTCACCGTCCCCCCACCCCCTCCCCTCTAAATCCCTCAGTTTGATTCCTGAAGTCCACAGGTTCTCATGCTTCGTCTCCCCCTTTGAATTCCCCGCCTTCATTTTTCCCTTGCTTCTTCTAATGTCCATTGTGCTATTCCTTATGTTCCACAAATAAGTGAAACCTTATGGTAATTGTCTTTCTCTGCTTGACTTATTTCACTCAGCATAATCCCCTCTAGTCCCATCCATGTCGATACAAATGGTGGGTGTTCATCCTTTCTGATGGCTGAGGAATATTCCATTGTGGATCTGGACCACATCTTCTTCATCCATTCCTCTGTTGAAGGGCATCTCGGCTCCTTCCACAGTTTGGCTATTGTGGCATTGCTGCTATGAACATTGGGGTGCATGTGGCCCTTCTTTTCACATCTGTATCTTTGAGGTAAATACCCAGGAGTGTAATTGCTGGGTCATAGCTCTATTTTTGATTTTTTGAGGAACCTTCACACTGTTTTCCAAAGTGGCTGCACCAACTTGCATTCCTACCAACTCTGTAAGAGGGTTCCTCTTTTTCTACAGCCTCTCCAACATTTGTTGTTTCTTGCCTTGTCGATTTTTGCCATTCTAACTGGTGTAAGGTGGTATCTCCATGTGGTTTTGATTTGAATCTCCCTGATGCCTAATGATGATGAACATTCTTTCATGTGTCTGTTAGCCATTTGTATGCCTTCTTTGGAGAAGTGTCTGTTCATGTCTTCTGCCCATTTTTTGACATGATCATTTGTTTTGTGGGTGTTGAGTTTGAGAAGTTCTTTATAGATCTTGAATATCAGCCCTTTATCTGCAGTGTCATTTGCAATTACCTTCTCCCATTCCGTGGGTCGCCTCTTTGTTCTGTTGACTGTTTCCTTTGCTGTGCAGAGTTGTTTTATCTTGATAAAGTCTCAAAAGGTTATTTTCACTTTTGTTTCCTTTGCCTTTGGAGACATGTCTTCAAAGAAGTTAATGTGGCTGATGTCAAAGAGATTACTGCCTATTTTCTTCTCTAGGATTTTGATGGATTCCTGCCTCACATGAGGTCTCTCATGCATTTCGAGTTTATCTTTGTGTATGGTTTAAGAGAATGGTCGAGTTTCATTCTTCTATACATAGCTGTCCAGTTTTCCTAGCACCATTTAGTAGAGTCTTTTTTCCACTGGATGTTTCTTCCTGCTTTGTTGAAGATTAGTTGACCACAGAATTGCAGGTCCATATCTGGGCTCTCTACTCTGTTCCCCTGGTCTATGTGTCTGTTTTTTTTTGCCAGTACCGTGCTGTCTTGGTGATCACAGCTTTGTAGTAAAGCTTGAAATCAGACAACGTGATGCCCCCAGTTTTGTTTTTCTTTTTCAACATTTCCTTGGCAATTTGGGCTCTTTTGTAGTTCAATACAAATTTTAGATTGTTTGTTCCAGCACTTTGAAGAATGCCATTGGTATATTGATCGGGATGGCATTGGAAGTATAGATTGCTCTGGGCGGCATAGACATTTTAACAATGTTTATTCTTCCTATCCATGAGTATGGAATGATGGAATGTTTTTCCATCTCTTTGTGTCTTCAACGCCTTTTCATAAGTGTTCTGTAGTTTCTAGAGTATAGATCCTTTACCTCTGGTTAGATTTATTCCGAGGTATCTTAAGGTTTTTGGTGCTATTGTAAAATTCCCTAATTTCTCTTTCTACAGTTACACTCTTAGTGTATAGGAAAGCCACTGATTTCTGTGCATTGATTTTGCATCCTGCCACATTACTGAATTGCTGTATGAGTTCTAGTAATTTGGGGATGGAGTCTTTTGGGTTTTCCACATGAAGTATCATGTCCTCTGCAAAGAAAGAGAGTTTGACTTTTTCTTTATCAGTTCAAATGCCTTTTATTTCTTTTTGTTTTCTGGTCGCTGTTGCTAGGACTTCTAGTACTATGCTGAATGATAGTGGTGAGAGTGGGCATCCTTGTCGTGTTCCTGATCTTAAGGGAAGTGCTCTCAGCTTTTCCCCATTGAGAATGATAATTCGCTGTAGGCTTTTCATAGATGGTTTTTATGGAATTGAGGAATGTTCCCTCTATCCCTACTCTCTGAAGAGTTTTAATCAGGAAAGAAGGCTGTATTTTGTCGATGCTTTTCCTGCATCAATCGAGAGGACCATGTGGTTCTTGTCCATCCTCTTATTAATGTGTTCTGTCACATTGATTGATTTGTGAATGTTGAACCACACTTGCTTCCCAGGGATAAATCCCACCCAGTCATGATGGATAATCCTTGTAATGTACTTTTGGATCCTATTAGCTAGGATCTTGTTGAGAATCTTGGCATCCATATTCACCGGGGATATTGGTCTGAAATTCTCCTTTTTCTGGGTCTTTGCCTTTCCGGGATCAAGGTAATTCTGGCCTTATAGAATGAGTCTGGAAGTTTTCCTTCTGTTCCACTTTTTGAAACAGCTTCAGGAGAATAGGTTTTATTTCTTCTTTGAATATTTGGTAGATTTCCCCAGGGAATCCATCAGGCCCTGGAATCTTGTTTTTTGGGAGGTTTTTGATCACTGCTTCAATCTTGTTACTAGTTACTGGTCTATTCAGGTTGTCAATTTCTTCCTACTTCAGTCTTGGTAGTTTTATAGGTTTCCAGGAATGCATTCCTTTCTTCTAGGTTGCTTAATTTTTTTTGCATTTGGTTGTTGGTGATAATTTCTAAAAATTGTTTCTTCCAATTTTAGTATATGTGCTGCTGAAGCGAACACTCTAAGAATTGTTTCTATTTCCTTGGTGTTAGTCATGATCTCTCCCCTTTCATTCATAATTTTATTACATAATTTTATTAATTTGGGTCCTTTCTCTTTTCTTTTGGATACATATGGCCAGTGGTTTATCGCTCTTACTAAGTCTTTCAAAGAACCAGCTTCTAGTTTCGTTGATGTGTTCTCCTGTATTTCTGGTTTCTAATTCATTGATCTTTGCTCTAATCTTAATTATTTCCCTTCTTGTGCATGGCTTAGGCTTTATTTATTGTCTTTTGTTTGTTGTTTTTATTTGTTGTTCTTGCTACCCCAGCTTTAAGGTGTAAAGTTAATTTGTGTATTCAAGATTTCTTCTGTTTTTTTGAGTGAGGCTTGGATGGCTATGTATATCTCCCTTAGGACCACCTTTGCAGTATCCCTTAGGTTTTGGACTAATGTGTTTTCTTTCTCATAAGTTTCCATGATTGTTTAAGTTCTTCTTTGATTTCCTTGTTGACCCAAACATTCTTGAGCAGAATGGTCTTTAGCTTCCAAGTGTTTGAATTTTTTCTAAACTTTTTCTTGTGGTTGAGTTCCAGTTTCAAAGTATTGTATTGTGAGAACATGCAGGGAATAATCTCAATCTTTTGATATCAATTGAGACCAGATTTGTGACCCAGTATGTGGTCTATTCTGGAGAAAGTTCCGTGTGCGTTCAAGAAGAATTATTCTGTTGTTTTAGGGAGGAATGTTCTGTATATGTCTATGAGGTCCATCTGGTCCAGTGTGTCATTCCAAGCTCTTGATCCTTTGTTGGTTTTTCGGCTTAGATGATCTGTCTAGTGCTGAGAATGGAGTGTTGAGGTCTCCTACAATTAACATATTGTTATCAATATGTCTTTATTTTGGTTAACAGATGGCTTATGTAGTTGGCTGCTCCCATGTTGGGGACATAAATATTTAGAATTGTTAGATCCTCTTATTGGATAGACCCTTTAAGAATGATATACTGTCCTTCTGTATCTTTAACTCCAGCCTTTAGCTTAAAATCTAATTTGTCTGATGTGAGAATTGCTACCTCAGCTTTCTTTTGAAGTCCGTTGGCATGAAAGATGGTTCTCCATCCCTTCACTTTCAGTCTGGATGTATCTTCGGTTCAAAACGAGTCTCTTATAGACAGCATATGGATGGGTCCTGTCTTTTTATCCAATCTACAACCCTGTGCCATTTCATGGGAGCATTTAGGCCATTCGTGTTGAGAGTGATTCTTGAAAGATATGATTTTATTGTCATCATGTTGCCTGTGAAGTCCTTGTTTCTATAGATTGTCTCTGTACATTTCTGTATCACTCTTGGGGTCATTCTCCTTTTATAGAACCCCCCCCCCTTTAATATTTTGTGCAGGGCCAGCTTGATGGTCACATATTCTTTCAATTTCTACTGCTCTTGGAAGCTCTTTGTCTCTCCATCCATTCTGAATGACAGCCTTGCTGGATAAAGTATCCTTGGCTGCATGTTCTTCTCCTTTAATACCTTCACTATGTCTTTACCAGCCCTTTCTGGCTTGCCAGGTCTCTGTGGACAGGTCTGATGTTATTCTGATGTGTT